TGTCTAAAAACAAAGTGGTATGTCGGTATCGATGACCTTCCTCTAATAAAATACAATATAAATATATACATTTAAAAAATATATATATATAGTATAAATTTAAATCTCTTTATAGATATACAATTGTATATTGTGCGCTTAATCATCTCAAAACTTTATCGTGACTTTTAATGGATTTTTCATAAGAAAAAACAGAGGCTGCCTTTCGTGCGACAATTACGTCGCGTATCTGGTGCACGCAATTGTAACGCGACGAACGCACGAAAAACTCGAAAATCGATATACTCGCGTGTGGAGGCTTTTTATGTGTCGTCGGTTCCTTAATTCATGCACGTATCACACTTCTTAATTACGAGAAGCGTTGCAGCGCGCCGTTGTCGGTCGATCGTGAAAAGCCGCATGTCGTTATTATAACGTTAGATTCTACGTTTTTACGCTGTAAATATAAATAACTTTTACGGCTGCGTTTGCTTTTTATTGCCTACCTTGGATCCCTCGAGTCGCGCGTATCTATTATACGCCATCAAGATTGCTATGATGAAAGTGTAATGCGATATCAAATTAAAATACAATCCAACATCTAATGCGACATCTGGGTCTTATTGTAAAGTAAATTACAATTTCTCGTTCCCTAGTAATTATTCAATAATTATTAACAACAATTTTATTATCAACAAATTTGCTTTATTTGAATTTAAGATTAATGAAACGTATTGATATATTTTATATATTACTATTTTATTTATTAGAAACTTTTGATGAAGACTATTCAAAATGTTTTCATTTTATATTCTCTTAAATAATAAAAAGTCGAGTAAAAAGTTAATATATTATTTAAAAAAAAAACTTGTTCGTATTTTGATCGTTACTATTTGGTATTTTTATTGTGCAACTAATTATTTTTCAAGTCACTGCGTACTGTTCTTTTTCTTCAAGTTTTCCAGAAAATACACGAAGAACGAGTTTCTTCTCAAGAACAGATGGCAAAAAAGAAGAAACAACGAATGCGAAATACGAGATGCGATGCAACATGAAATCCTGAGAATTTATTCTTGTCCTTATCTTCATCCTATTTTTTTCCTATTTTCCTTAGTTTACCTTAGTTCAATAATGTTTCTCTAAGCAAAACTTCACCCAGACTTGCAAAAGATATAATTTTGTAAATAGCTTTAAAAAAAATGTTAAATGCTCGTTTTATTATATTTTTTAATTAATTGCAATCGATGACGAGCAAATCGATGAACGTCACGCGGGTGAAGTTCAGTATGGACTTAACTACACGGAGCGTTTTCTTTCACCCGTGGTA